AGGTCGAATCAAAATTCTATTTAGAAGTGTCAGTTACCTCATGGTTAAAGTGATTATTAATATTAAAGAAATAGAAACACAGGTTTTGTTCAATTCCATAGATATTGCTCATATTTTTAAACTAATCATAACGCAACGTTGATATGTACAATATTAAGGTGGCAACTCTGGTAGTTATAATATATACTGTTATCTGGATTTTATTGGCAAAAACTTTTAATTAGAGTCTTCTCAGTCATCAGTTTAATATGATGACCGTTAATTTACAGTAACGTTCAAACAAAATTATTTATTTATTTGTATTTTTACAGATGATATGTAATTTATTTGTTGACCAATTTTCTTGATCTTTGTTGAGACCATTCAATGAAAATAAATCTTTTAATTAAATATATTGAAATATATTATTATTTATTGCATTTCATTCTCAGGTTGCAAAGACCAAAATATAGCGCTGACATTAAGAGATCTAATACAAACATCGTACTTCCGAGTTGTGGTTGTTGAGGATGTTGATTCAGTTGAATGCTGTGGTGCATTAAAGGTAATTATGCATTATATAATTGTATTATACTTTTTAATCTTCTCAATAATATCCTTAATAATACTTTTAATGAAGTAATGAAGAAAAAGTTCATATACAATTTATGAATTGGGATTCAATTCTTTAGTTACAAACTATGAATTATTACAAAGTAATTTAAAACTTCTACATGTGACAAATTACGCGGTGAAAGGAACACAATTTAGCAAAAATTCTACTGGAGAATATTATACAATTTTTATTCTTTCTCGATTGAAAATTCTTCTGCAAAGAGAACAAAAGGATTAATCTTCAATTTCAATAATTTGAAAATAAAGCCGAAACCGTAATTTTTTACTTCGACTTTCACCTTATTATATTGTTATGAAGAATTATTATTAAATAATATATATAAATAATAACATACACATTCACATAATGAACGTGAAAATATATACTTTAAAGAAGATATACTATGACCATAATCTTTGTAACATATAAAAAAACACTTCCACAAATGCATGTCCTTTCCGAAACTATTCAAAATATATTATTTTTAAATATTTTTCTCTATGTATAGTAAATAAAACATTTTCTATTAATTGTTAAATTAGTTAATACGCATAAATTACTTAATAAATTTCTTTTAAAACAAATTATGTTGAGATACTAACTATTAATGTTTCTTCATATTTAATTTTTAACAGAATATAGTTGCCTGTGGTGCTGGTTTTGTTGATGGTCTAAGATTAGGTGATAATACAAAAGCTGCTGTCATTAGATTGGGACTTATGGAAATGATTAAATTCGTAGATGTATTTTTCCCTGGTGGAAAACTATCTACATTTTTTGAAAGTTGTGGTGTAGCAGATCTTATTACAACATGTTATGGTGGGCGTAATCGTAAAGTTTCAGAGGCATTTGTTAAAACTGGCAAGGTTAGACCAATAATACTAAAAAAATAATATGACGTACTTACTGTACTATTCTCCAATTGAAAAAGAACATGCAAAATACAACATTTATTTATTTACAGACAATTGTTGAATTGGAACAGGAAATGTTGAACGGACAGAAATTACAAGGTCCCTTCACTGCTGAAGAAGTAAATTATATGCTGAAAGCAAAAAATATGGAAAACAGGTTTCCTCTTTTCACATCTGTACATCGGATTTGTATTGGTGAGATTAAACCACAGGAACTAATTGAATGCATACGCAACCATCCGGAACACATGTAAGCTTAATTGTCTCCACTAAACTAATGGTGGATTAGTTGAAATATCTGACCTTTATCTGAATATGATATAGGCTGATAGTTATTTTATTTGACGTACTGTACAATTTAATTTTCAAATTAGATTACAAATATTTTTGTGCCATAATTTACAAATTGAGCATATCAACAAAAGAATGTTATGTAAATATGTAATACATGTTAAAATTAATTTATTGTGATTGCGATACACGTGCCAGGTATAGCTCTTACGTTTGCAATTTGTTAGAGAATTTAGTGTTTTAGTAAGAAATTTAAAAATCTTCGTTTGACGATACAATACTTATTTAAACCATGGTCCTAGCTATGCTAATGTTGCTGGTTTTCCTTCAAAACATTGAAAAAGTTGGATAGTACTGTACTCAAAAACACCAAATAATTAAAACTGATATGTATGATATGTAAAAACGTGTAAAAACGTGTACATATATGTAAAAAAATAGTCATTGTTTTATGTACAAGAAAAGTAGGTACATACATATTTTTCTGAAGAACTCGTTTATTGCATTTATTATGTACAAGATGAAACTTGAATTATTTCTATCAGTAAAGTATTTCATATACGTCCACAATGAATATGGTGACAAAGAAGACATAATATGAAAACGGCTTTTAATGTCACGAACAGATTTAGTTATAAAAAAAAGAGTAGCTATGTTTGAAAACAAAATGATTTGGGAAGATATGCTCTAGTATATATCTGTCTCTTATACACATCTAGATGTGTATAAGAGACAGCTTTATGGGGTGTATGAAACTTAAAACGTTTGAATATGGAGCAGCTTTTTTCAAATACTATACAAATGCATACATATTCTTGTCATTAAATGGTTAAAAAGCTGTCTCTTATACACATCTAGATGTGTATAAGAGACAGCTTTATGGGGTGTATGAAACTTAAAACGTTTGAATATGGAGCAGCTTTTTTCAAATACTATACAAATGCATACATATTCTTGTCATTAAATGGTTAAAAAGCTGTCTCTTATACACATCTAGATGTGTATAAGAGACAGCTTTATGGGGTGTATGAAACTTAAAACGTTTGAATATGGAGCAGCTTTTTTCAAATACTATACAAATGCATACATATTCTTGTCATTAAATGGTTAAAAAGCTGTCTCTTATACACATCTAGATGTGTATAAGAGACAGCTTTATGGGGTGTATGAAACTTAAAACGTTTGAATATGGAGCAGCTTTTTTCAAATACTATACAAATGCATACATATTCTTGTCATTAAATGGTTAAAAAGCTGTCTCTTATACACATCTAGATGTGTATAAGAGACAGCTTTATGGGGTGTATGAAACTTAAAACGTTTGAATATGGAGCAGCTTTTTTCAAATACTATACAAATGCATACATATTCTTGTCATTAAATGGTTAAAAAGCTGTCTCTTATACACATCTAGATGTGTATAAGAGACAGCTTTATGGGGTGTATGAAACTTAAAACGTTTGAATATGGAGCAGCTTTTTTCAAATACTATACAAATGCATACATATTCTTGTCATTAAATGGTTAAAAAGCTGTCTCTTATACACATCTAGATGTGTATAAGAGACAGCTTTATGGGGTGTATGAAACTTAAAACGTTTGAATATGGAGCAGCTTTTTTCAAATACTATACAAATGCATACATATTCTTGTCATTAAATGGTTAAAAAGCTGTCTCTTATACACATCTAGATGTGTATAAGAGACAGCTTTATGGGGTGTATGAAACTTAAAACGTTTGAATATGGAGCAGCTTTTTTCAAATACTATACAAATGCATACATATTCTTGTCATTAAATGGTTAAAAAGCTGTCTCTTATACACATCTAGATGTGTATAAGAGACAGCTTTATGGGGTGTATGAAACTTAAAACGTTTGAATATGGAGCAGCTTTTTTCAAATACTATACAAATGCATACATATTCTTGTCATTAAATGGTTAAAAAGCTGTCTCTTATACACATCTAGATGTGTATAAGAGACAGCTTTATGGGGTGTATGAAACTTAAAACGTTTGAATATGGAGCAGCTTTTTTCAAATACTATACAAATGCATACATATTCTTGTCATTAAATGGTTAAAAAGCTGTCTCTTATACACATCTAGATGTGTATAAGAGACAGCTTTATGGGGTGTATGAAACTTAAAACGTTTGAATATGGAGCAGCTTTTTTCAAATACTATACAAATGCATACATATTCTTGTCATTAAATGGTTAAAAAGCTGTCTCTTATACACATCTAGATGTGTATAAGAGACAGCTTTATGGGGTGTATGAAACTTAAAACGTTTGAATATGGAGCAGCTTTTTTCAAATACTATACAAATGCATACATATTCTTGTCATTAAATGGTTAAAAAGCTGTCTCTTATACACATCTAGATGTGTATAAGAGACAGCTATTGTACATGTTAGTAAAATGTTAGTATAATGAAATGTTAGATAATTTATGAAAGCACAGTATGCGCTACTCTATATATTTTAATGAGGATTTTATCAGACATGTTATATAAAATATAAAGATTTTATGAACAAACATGTATCAGCGACTTTTGTTGGTAATGTAGGTTTTATGTACCAAGATTATCAATTGTTTAGTCACCTGTTAAATTGTAGATTATTGTAAACTGTTACATTATGCAATCGAAGTTATCATAAACAATGTAATATGAGAGTTAAATATATGACTGTTATTTATTATTTTACATTTGTTTAGTTTAGAGTCATATTTGCCCTTATTCCAAAACCAAAATTAATATTTCTGCAAAAGATCGAGACAATACGGTCAGAACATCTTCCTGCATTTTGAATTGTTGCAATTAGACACACATTTCTCTATACATAGAGAAAGTAACGTACGTTTATGCGTGTAACAATACATGATGTTCGGCCGTATTGTTTATTGCGATTAACAGATGTCTATTTTTAATTGCATTCGCTTCGTATTTAGGAACGATGACGTTAATGCATCAATGCTGCAACTACCTGCACCGAGATGCCATCTGTGAAGATTATATTGGTGGACACGGAAGAGGGATGATGATGCTCGCGTATTAATGTCTAAAAAATTGTTACAAATTTATAGATTATTTTTGAGGTGTGATAGATGTTTAACATACGAAATGTTCATACCAATTTGAAACAATGCAGAGATAACAATTACTATAATCATAAGTACAATATAATATAGTACTTTTAGTCTCGAAAAACTATGTTATTGATAAAGCCATCAGTTTTCATATTTTCATTATGTTCTTTATATAGACACTTGTCTATATAAATTTAATGTAATTGATTCATTTCTTTTTTATGGTCACTAAAATCTATAAAAATTATATTTTATTAGAAATACATTTTAGTTATATTTAACTTCTGATTGCAATGTAAAATTACATAACTACCGTTAGGAAACGTTAACGGCCAAAAGGTATTTGTACAGACGTATTTGTAATTATTTCTTAATTTTATACATTTTTAAAAAATTTTAAATAAATTTGTTTTTTGAATGTATTGTGTACATCTTTATTTACTATTACTTCTACATTCACTGATCTGTTGTTCTACGGCGGTACCAAAAATGCAACGATCGGTTGAATTCAGTGAATATGGTATAAATTTTTAATTCAAGGTTAACGTGTTGCATTGAAAACTTTACAATATGTCAAATGTATTATCAAACTATCGCTAATTTTATCGTTCTACCTGGCCACAGTTTGCGATTGCGTTCATGTTGGCCTTGAGCCACAGCAGCATACGCCAGCCGTTAGAAAATAATTTGTGATCGCCGCTAAGGTCAAAGAAGGCTGAAGTTGGTTTGTAAGTTAATCGGTCAGTCAGTCAATCGTACATCGGCGTCCCGAAAATAAGCGGATTGTAACATTGGACTACGTTAAGTGCTTCACCCCCTTACGATTTCGTGACCATTAATTCTGTGATATTATCAATTCTGCAAAAATGGCTACTCCAGCGAAGAAAAGAATATGCATTGTTGGAAGTGGCAATTGGTATATATATACTTTTTCTTCGAAATATCAATTAAAATGAAATATTAATTAAAATGCTTTTCCAAATTCATTAGACACTGTTCTCGACAGTGGTCAGGAAAATTTGATATGTATTTTGATATGTGAGAAGTACTGTAACAATAAATTCTCCATTAAAAAGCTTATTAAATTTGATATGAAAATATCTTCGATTTGACCTAATTAACAAGTTTTATGTTACTGTGACTATTGAAACAGTTTAGCTGATATAACTGACATTTTTAAAATTTTAAAAATTCGACATATTATATTGACTCTGTAATAATGAACTATGACTTTAATTAATAATTTATATTTTCATTAAATGGAGATGCGTAAAATAAGATTTAAGCACTTATATAATATTCATTATTGTGTGAATACTTTAGACTTTTATACTTTATATTTGAAATAAAATATTATAATTTGCAAGAAATACCCATCCAGGGGACCATCTTCGTGATAATGTTTAAAAATGGCGGTTATGGCATACACATTAACTTTTATATTATCATTAGGGGTTCAGCTATTGCAAAAATTGTGGGCGCCAATGTTGTAAAATATAACAACAAATTCGAAACACGTGTGACAATGTATGTCTACGAAGAGATAGTAAATAGCCAAAAATTGACTGAAATTATAAATACGATGCATGAAAACGTAAAATATCTCCCCGGACACAGGCTTCCTGAAAATATTGTGAGTTTTCTCTATTTTACATTTTTCTTGAATGCCCACACGTTATTAATAAATTAATAATATTCACTTATACATATAATATTAACACATACTTCATCGAAATTTCGGGAAAAGCTAGCCTTAGCCAGCGGATTGTATAATATATACTTTCAAAAAGTAGACATTTTGATTATTTATTATAATGTTTATAGTATACGATATTTATATAAACGTTTTTAATGTGTGCTACAAATACATATATTATATATTACAAATAATATAATAGTCTCCTCGTTGATATGACGAATTAAGAATAATAATAAAAGGAAACCATACAGCCATAATCAACTTCAGACCGTTTTGTAATTACAGAAGTGAACACTGTGAATATTTTGCAAACATCATGTTTCACGTATGAAACCTAGGAGTAATACATATTGTATATTACATAACATGGTACCAATTTTTTTTATCAATAAATTACAAATATTTCTTATATTTCTTTCCATCATATTATTAACATAATGGGCAACTACTTTATTGTTAGAGCCAAACGAAGTTAACTACCGAACTCTAAACGCGACAGTAATTTCTCCCTAATTCGCGCTCAGATTGCGCACAAAAGTGGACAATTTGGGAAGAGGAGATACAATTATACGAGTTTTGCGACTCGTTTTTGTAGTTACCAATTACTGTACTGTGTACTGTTTCGTCGTAACAATGACAAAATTGGATTTATTCAAAATTTGTACGATTTCTATTATAATATATGCCTGAACGAAACAGTTTATCAAAAAGTTTCTCATTCAAAGATTTTTATAATTTCAATAACTGTAAAAGAAAGGATCAGAAACCTGTAGAAAAGTTTAATACGATATTTCTACAGTAATCCCTAACATCTCGATCAGGTTTAAGTCTTGGGCCTCATGTTAAAGTTGATACATATTTTTCAGTAGAACTTGATGTGGTTCTTCAAGCGAAAATATAAAAACACCTTGCAATATCACTGTTCGTCATGCTTTTTTATTAGATGTTTAATTAGATTTTTTCCTTATACAAATTTCAAATATACAACGTATCCTTCCTGCGAGTTATGTACGTGTTCCATTAATTGGTTTAATCTTTTCTGTACCGTTTGATCATTAATTCTATTGTTAATTCCAATCCGAGTATCATTGCAACTTTGTTTAGTAGTTTTATGACAAGTTGTGAATATTGCGTTTGTTAATTGTTTTGTGGAGTCTTTGAGTTCACAAATTTTGCGATTCTTGGCGCATAAACAAGAGATATGTACTCCTCAAAATTGTTCAATCAGTAATGTAACAGCATCGAAAGGATTGGGAAGTCTGAAGTATCTACATATAGGCGCTGCTATGCACGCGTTATCCCTTTAATTTCGAGATAGATAGTACACAATTCTATAATTTTTACACGTTTTTATTCTATATTTCTTAATTAGAAACTTGCACTTGCATTAGTACAAATTCGGTGTAAATGACCATTATATGGGTCACTAACGCGACGGCTTCGATTTAGGAATTTGTGAGTCACATTTGGCGCATGAATCTGTTTGTTGCGGGCCACGGACCTCACAGTTTATTCCCCTATGAGTAGCGATAGGTGACACCTATTAGATGTATAAACCGCTCGAGCACGGTCCAATACATACTAACAATAAGCTCGAGTAATGTTTAGTTATTTAATAATGTTTTAACATTACTTTTTCCTGGAAACGTGTTTCTAGAATTGCAACTGTAACTTCTACGAATTTTTGAATTAGTATTGAAATCCTGCTACGGATCTGCATTATACAATAATTAATTATGAACAGATCCTGGAACCAAAAGAAGTACAAAAATAGTAACATCGATTCGGTAGATATGATTCCAAGAGAGATGATTTATGAAAAAAGAAATTCACACAATTTACCAATTGATACAAATCATAGTCCATTAAATTTTGCTAGTCGTCAATTTTTTAATACTTTAATTAAGAATATTATTAATTATTATAAATTAATTACATCATAATAAAAATGGCAAAAAGTCTAAATAAGTTTACTCTAGTGATTCTTATAAAGCAGCACACATTATTCACTAATCTTTATCAAAGGGATTTAGAGACACCTTTTAAAAATTTGAATTTATACATTTTAATTAAAAAATGAATAAGCACGTAAAACAGTACATGCTGTACGATGACTTGCACTGACTTGCAATGACATGCACAGACACTTTCGAAACTGTATTTACAGCTTAACTTAATCACAAGATTTATCTTGAGACACAAGATTTATGAAGTCGAGATGACACTTTCAGAATCGACACTGATTGTTATCGCAGCGTTTGTTATGTTGTATTCTGCTCTTGAATTTAGTTTCACGCGCGGTCTTTACATCCTGACGCTAGACTAATTTTACAACGACTCTGAGTCTGCGAACGTGTCAGCATGATACATGGGACATAATCCGTCCGCATTTCACCACATTAATCTATACAATACAACTATTACATTCTAATTACGGTGGATTAAGAAAATTATTGACGCTCTAAGTTTTTTCATAATATACTTTAAATTCGAAATATAGCATATTAATACGATTTTAGTTTAGATAAAAATGTTAATAATTTAGCGTTAAAGTTGAATATTGAAAACCCGAAACTATTTTAACCATAAGAATTCAGATATATATATATATATATATATATATATATATATATATATTATCTTTTATATTATTTATATATATTTTATTATTTATTTATTATATTAGTTTTTTATACTATTTTGTAATAAAAATGATTAATATTTCTATAGACGAGCACATCATTATAAAATACTAAAAAAAATTTTTTAACTTACATTACTGCCACTGAACTTTGTAAGTGTGCCAATACTTTTCACATTCATTGCACAAGGAACAGCACAGAACACGAAATTAAATCTCAAACTTAAGAATATTTCACATTTTGTGAAATATCTTGAAAATAAATGGAAATAGAAAAAATTTTGCACACAAATATTGCTCGTTATTTTTTACAACAAATAAATTAACGTTTCTCAAGATTAAAACAACCTTTAAAAATTTTTATCATTGGTAATGATATTCATATGCCCATACGGCATATCTTGTTGTTAATATTTTTGTCAATGATAAAACATTTCTCGTTGAATATTTGTTGATATTGACTATTAATTTTCAATTCTACGAATTTTTACAGACGAGTATTATATATTACCATAAACATCCACAATCGAATTAAAGATTCACGCTTTCCATTAAACACTGTAGATATAAAATATTGATACCAAAAGTTTCATTCCGAAAGAGAAATAATATTTCTTCTATTTATGAATTTAATTTATATACAAACTTGTAGTTTATTATAATTATAATTATTAGTGTAAACGATAAAAACGATAAATGTTAGAACGAAATATCTCGTGTATTACCTTTATCAGTCGAAAATTAAAACTTCGATTTCCTTCACGTTCAAGATAAATAAATGTCATTTATTGAATGATCACAATTTACAGTAATGCATAAATTTCAGGTTGCCGTTCCCGATGTCGTTGAGGCTGCAAAAGATGCAGATATCCTAATATTTGTAATACCCCATCAATTCATACGAACATTGTGTGCAACATTGCTAGACAAAATAAAACCAACGGCAGTTGGTTTATCATTAATTAAGGTACGCTGACTTACAGAAATTTTATATTAGTAAAGAACATCCGAATGACTCGAATGTAATGAACATATTTTAATTTGTACTAAGGGTTTCGATCGAGGAGATGGAACAAACATTGAACTAATCTCTAAAATTATTGAAAAAAATTTGAGAATTCAATGTTATGTTTTAATGGGTGCAAATTTGGCTAATGAAGTGGCCGAGGAAAAATTCTGCGAAACTACCATCGGTAATTAATACGTAGCTAAAATTAAATATTGAATAATCATTTGAAGGGTTTCGAGTCAC